CGAGACGCCCATGCCTTCTCCTTCTGGCTACTCCATCGTGTCAGCCGATGGCGCACCTTCTCTCATCACAGACACTGGCTCAGAGTCTCGCTCACCACGTGGTGCAGCTTCACCACTTGACATCACACTAGCTCCATTAGTCGGCAGTCGGGAGGAACGCAAGAGCTCTTCTACCCGATATCTACCCACAACTGGCTTTGCGCCCGAAGACGACTCTTCCTACGATGTCTACAGGCGACGAGGCTCACTACAACTCCCTCCTCTACACCGCAGTGATGCTTCAGCACCCAAGCCTTCGCCTGCGTTCCGCGAGCCAAACTACGAGCGACCACAACCACCAAGACTCCTCACTCAACCCACACCTCAGCTCACACACCACCACTCTATGCCTCAGTCTGCGCCAACAAGTGTTCCACAACGGGCACTTCCTCCTTTCCACTCTCTCGCCGAGCCAACGCTCCCGGTGCCGCAGTCTTCGAGTGCAACAACTAGCCCAGCTGCGCGACAACTCCCGTCACCCTACGTGCTCCCTTCGGTACCGTCAGAGGCCCGGAGTGCACCCGTCTCACCCAAAGACAGGATGTCCCTGCGAAACATCATGTAGTTGTCTATCATGTTTCACTTTGTCCAACATACCCCTTCTTGTCTATACGTCGCACGTTTCAAACCACCTACTTCTATTAATGGCCGATATTCAATGATCGACACTTTGTTTGTTACAGAGTTCTTCAACCTTGTCGTTTGTTTTGCATGGAACTAAAAAGGGACACATCGTATACGACTTTCAGGATACCCCATGTCGCATCTCTATTCACGTGCAACGGTTTGGGAGGCACATCAGTCTAGTTCTATTCAGGCTCGTCTTAGCCATGTAGCATCAAGCACGTCGAAATTCGACACATCACGGCGTTTCTCTATTCGGCCTTAAGCAGGCCTTGCTATACACTGCGACAATTTCGTTGCCAGTAATAATACCCAGCAGTGCAACAGCACTTGCAAGCGTCCTCTAGCGATGCCAATCAAATACAATCAATATTACAACACATGCACCCCTTACAGCAGTTTCCGTTTCTCACAAGACCAACTAGTGATACCGAGTACCAAGTTCACATGTTCAAGTGACTGACGAACAGAACAAGGAGTTTCCACCGCGAATATCGATCGACAAACACTAAGTTCCAGGCTTTCAAACGTTCCAGGGCGGCGTGAGCTCACCGCTCCAATGGCACCTCAACCGGTTGTGGAACCCACCGCATGACAGATACTCACAAACGTCTGAGGTACCCACTACCACGATTTCTCCATCCACACCTCAACGTACGCATGGGGCGATCTCGCCACAATCACCGATCAGCCCACGCAGTCGTACCCGTCGCAACACCTGCAGTGTCGCCTATACTACTTTTTCATTGGACTGAACGCGCCCGGCTGACGGACAATACTTTTCTCCTAAAATGATTGATTGGTTCCTCCTTTTCCGTACACTGCCACCAATAGTGGCCGAGGTGGGGCTCTGGACCGCTCAGCAAGATTCTGTCACCGTGAGTCCTGCGACATCGAGGTATGCTTCGGCACTTCTTCTGATGATAGACCATCTCCAGGGAGTCCCTGGAAAGATCAGAGAGCAAGTCGTCACGAAGTCAATAGTATCGCAAGACCTCCCCTACACCGCACTGGAATAGCGACTGTGGAAATTACGAACTATCCACGCACCTCCTGTTTGTACGCACAGGTACACGCACTAGGATCCCCTCATTCCAACGAGCTTCGCGAATCATTGCTCTCTGTACCGTCGTCCGGTGCGGCACATCCGCCCTCGTTTTCGTCAACCGCGCATCCGAGCAAATCGCTTCATTGTAATTTACGATTCAACGTCCCCCCCCTCCCGTGTGATCGTTCGAATCGTCCACGTAAACGTCCCACTCGGCCTAATTCACTACAGCAAGGGTCGGCGACTAGAAGGCCACCATCATTCCTACCTGCCATTGCTAGTAAGAAAACAAGACACTGGGTCCTCCAGGGCTCGATCATGCGGCTACTGGTGGCTTTACCGCTTACGGGAATTAGACTTTGATCTACGCGTTAGCGTGCGACGGCTCGCGAGATTTGCGACTAGCGTATATCTCCATGTCCACAATCGTGCTGGAAGCGTTGGGAAGACACGCGCATTTTGTGCATATGGCATAGTAAGGAAGTCTGGTACCCTAATGCGGACATTCACGCATTAAGCCATAGCGCACACGGGGACTTTGGTACTGGGCCCACGCCGTCAAGAGGATGTCGCCGTTCATTCCCATGGTCTACCGCCCTTCCCTCTGCTGCTAAGCAACACGCCGTCGCAGAGGCGTTGATCGAAGGTCGCCGTCCTGAGCATAAGGTATTTCAGTTTCCAGTCTCTCGGGTCGCGATCTCTTTCAAGTCTTCAGCCCGTTTCAATACGACTTTCAATGGTACCATGGACGGCGGTATTGTGGAACATCGGATTTGCAACTGGAGGGCGAGTAGACGAGTGCACATCGCCATTTGCCGTTGAACGTTGAAGGTCGCGGGTCCGTTGATCCGGCGCATTTCGGTCTTGTGGCTGTGGTCTCTTTTTCCAATATGGTACGATTATCGTCAAACGAGGATCACATCGAGCCCTTCGTCACCATGTGCCAATGTCGTGCTCCTTTCGATCGGCACAGGCATCACAACGTCTTCTTCTAGCGCAGATCTCGCCGGACCTTCTCCGCAACCTGTGGCTCGTGGCGAGGCTATGCACTCGGTCGAACTCATGACATGTGCATGCAGCTTTGATGGTGAAACCTTTTTTATCATGTCTGGGATTGCATGTCCAAATCCGAGGTAGTAGTTATGCGCGAAACACGTCGTCTTCACAACTGCACTACAGATGTAGGGGTATGCAGGACTGTCAGACGGGTGTCAGACCAAGACCCTCGCACCCAGACTTTGAGAAGCTCGGCACGCTCGGTAATGTGCTGGTGCCCTCGGTGAAACGCGCATGGGGCGGTTGCGTCAACAGTCGTGTGGGGACAGTGCCATCATGCGAAACTTCGTTCGTTTGTGCGTACGCAATGAGGACGTTACATGTCAAACAACAGTAGATATCTCCCCGGACGGCCGGACATACGTACTTCAACGTCTGGAGCCGTTGTTTCTGCTTCTGCCGATATTGGGGCGTGTCACAGCGTCGGCGACTGTCGACGAAAGTATTAACAGTGCGGAGTTACTGCCGCCTTGAGTGTGGTGTGCACACCTCTTCAAATAGACCCATTTCTGTGCTGCAAGGGGTTCTTTGCTATACCGAGTAGAAAGTTCATAAGCGTGTTCGTTGTAGCCCTGTGATCGATTAGGTTGCCCTTCTCTTCCGGATGAGTGCATTTGCAGTACCAGCAACCTCCATTTGACTGCTCTCATCGCTACCCAGATTTAGGCCCTTTCTTCATCGCATTCGCTTTGAACTACGCAAGATTGTCGGGGTTACAGCTCCGGCTCTCTCGGCTCTATCGTGGGCAACGTTGACTCGACCGCTTGTAGCTAGCGGACCTTTTACCTCAATAGCAACGTTGCATCCGTAGCCAGGAGACATCCCGCGAAAAAACGGGTCGTAGAAGCAGTACTCCTGCAGCGGTCATTTTTCTCCGTCGACTGTAGTCGTGGCAATCCGCACTGTACACAGTAAGCGGCAGTCAGCAAGTCCATGCGTGCGCCGCATACCTGCATTGTCCCTAAAGACCGTACGCAAGCTTTTCGCAAACTTCAATGCGCCTTCAATGCATTTCCCAGCAGCCCGCCCGCCCGCTGCTGACCTGCATCTTACCCAGCCAGCAAACTCCCTGAGAAAAGTTTTCTGACGTCGATCAAGGTCGCACGAAACGGTGAGACACGAGCTCTCGCTTACGGACTGTAGGTAGCGAGTTGCCAGCAACGCGGGCTCGGTATTGCGCAAGCCCAGTAATAACGGCTGTGTTAAGTGTATGTGCGAGGCTTGTACGCACGACGTTCCTTCGAATCCTTGGGATTAATATGTGCGACTTCCTAGATTATATCATGGGTAAATGATGACACCACACACGTTCCATGCGTTCCACACGCATTCCGCTGCCTAATCAAGATGCAAGCCATCGGACGTTTTGCTGGAATCGTCGTTTTCCAAATTGCAGACATGGTGTTTTGAACGGTGAGCTTGGTGATGCAAATCGTCATCATTGGCCAGTCGTGCTTTAACCGCAACGGGAGTGGTGGGAAAACTAACACCGTACCACGTGACGTCGCACCTCCGTCGCGCCTTGCAGCCCTGTAGATCGTCAACGACATCATCCTATCCATCATCAACACCTGCATCTGCATATACGAATATACCCCGTTGCATATTGTTTCTAAACATATCTTGTCGTGTTCCCCTGCTTCCTGGTGCCGTCTTTGCCCTTTTGTTGCACGCGAGGTGTGCGCCACGTTTTCGCGGTTGCTGATGTTTGGGTCCAACAGCGGGAATGTCGGCTAACGGGTTGTATAACCCGGACCAGAGTGCTGTAAACACACGTTGGATAGAGCCCTGGACCGAGGCGTTTAGAGTAAGTGTCAGCTGTACGTGTTGTGTAGAGTGTCCGGCGAGAAGTGTCCTAGGTGTTGGGTTTCACAGGGTCAATGCGCTATTATTCTGGAAGTACGCAGATGTTAGAGAATGCCTTGCTGACCGGTCGTAGGCACAACGAGATATCGGACTCCGTGTACCGATCAACTTTCAGACTGTTCCAGCCGTATCGCTGGCACAGGCGTGTTTTGCGCAAAACCAGTACGAACATAATGCTTTCCAAAAATGCTTTTCAAATTTGTTGGCTGTCGGCGTCCGGAAATTCACAGTCGATACGTATTGGGATCCGCTGCGTTCAGTATGGAGTTTGTGCCCAGTTGAGCTGCCTCAGTCGAATGAAGACACATCGGCTGAAGGAAATCTGCCTGTGGCGACTGGGCCAACAATAGCGCAATCAAGTGATAGTATGAGTGCAGAGATCCCGCTGTCTACATTCGATCCTCCAGGCAAGGCAAAAAAGCGTCAACAGACATCCACATCGGCTTCGGTGTCTGCAGACCTATCGTCGAATTCGATAGCAGTCGTGTCCTCGGTCGCATCGTCAACTTCCTCAGCTTCAACGAGTGCAGCAACACCAACCATAATCGATTTCCCGACCCCCGATGGACCGCCGCTTTTGCAAATCGGGAGTTACAATTGCACATCTCTGATGACGCTAGACTTACTTACCGGCATACTAGAGAAGTTCCTCGAAACAACAGCTACTACAACTAGTGCAGCGATAACTATGTTCACTTTCAACGTACATGCTGCTTCATCTATCACAGATCCAGACGCTCCAGCTCCAAACCTGTCTCCGAATCAACTTCCTCAGTCTGGGCAATTGCTCAGCGATGTGTTGCAGGGTAATCTTTCTGATGACACATTCACTCCGTCTACTTTGGCCGACCAACGTGCGAACTTGAATAGCTCGTGGTATAACGTCGATTGGAATAATCGTCCACTCATGGGTTACTACGAGAACTCCAAGAATGCTGACGGACACTTGTTCACGGAAAGTGGGTGGCCAAACGAAGCTTACATGGAGTTCAAGCAGCTATATCGACTTATCACTAGTTATGGCACTGTTGCCCCGCAGATGTCGGATTATAACATAGGACCAGATCTCGACTACGTCTTCCCTCCTGGAACCATTGTCGATGAAAAGACACTATCAGTTGGCACGGATGGACGTGTGACTTCCGGTTGCTTGCTTTCTTCTTCCGACAACATCGTTACTTCGACAACGAACTCATCTTGGGCCCTTGCCGAAGTCCCATCACTCGATATCAGCGCAAACCCAGACTTCTCCTCGATTATACCCTCGGTCACTAACTTTACCGCCTGTGGTATAACCCCCTTCCTCAATCAAACCCTCGGAGACACCACTGCGGACAAGAATCCCTTACCTTATGCCGCATATGTACAGTCTACATTATGGTCGTTCGCGCCTGGTCAACCCCTCAATTCCTCTGAAGAGGGGGACGACACTAATGACAACCGCTGCGTCGTCATGATGATGAAACCACCCTATGCAGGGCGCTGGCGCGTAGAAGACTGCAACCAACACCATCGTGTCGCCTGCCACGATCCCCGACAACCTTACGACTGGCGTATCTCCGACGATTCAACTTACTATCGCAACGCCGAATACTATTGCAAAGACCCATACCAATTTAATGTCCCACACACCGCGCTAGAAAACTCGCACCTGTTTTCTGCTTTTCAGGCCGCCGCTCCTAATGATGACGCGCTTTACATCAACTTGAATGCTTTAAGTGTGCCAGACTGCTGGGTCATTGGACTCAATGGAACGTGTCCGTACCTTCCTACGACAGACACGAATCGTACGCGCATCGTTGTAGTGCCAACTGTAGCGGCTGTGATTATCTTTCTTTTGGCTGCGTTAACCTTCTTTGTCAAATGCGCTGCAAATCGGAGGGAGAACAAGAGAGGACGGAAGAGAAGACTGGTTGATGGCTGGGAGTATGAAGGCGTTCCTAGTTAATGGGAAATTAGTGACCCAGCGTCATGTTGGACAAGGGTATGTAAATATAACAGCATTGACCAGAAATCCAAATTTGGTATCAATCATCAACACCTCACTACGTTGCTCAGACAAAGACTCAAGGCAGCGGTGGTATCGGGATAGATTCAGTTCTCATCAGTTGCTCTAATATACAATGCCTTTGTTGTCGGATGCAGTTGCAGAGTCTGACAAAGCCATTCATCTCGACCATTGTCCGCTTTGTGAGTCAAGTCGTATAACATGACTATCTCTCAATCATTCGTACGGCTGGTTGGCAAAAAAAGATACATTACCATCTATAAAGAACAAGACTATACCACCACCGATATTATTTCTATCAGTCACGACCAAACATGTCCACAAATCCTTGGGGACACCGTACGGCGCACAATGCGCCGCGGCAACGTCCCAATATGCGTGGCACGAGCCTCTACCCAATGGCTGTGCCACATGCGAGGCAAGTAGCTAAGAACATTGCTGCTAAACAAATTCCAAATACCTGGCCTATCCCAAGAAACCGAAGTAAAAAAAGCAGAGGTCTGAGGCGAAATGGCAACACTTGTTTCCGACTCAGTGGTCTACAAGCACTGTTACACTTGCCAAGATTTCTTCAGTGGATCATCTCTCATAATAGCATGCGCAATGGAACCCGGATCTTCCCATGCCGTCCCGCTCATGTAATCCATGCACAATTAGACTTGAATATGTCCAGTACTACTATATCGCCGAACAAGAAAATTCCTAGTATAGACGAATTGCCTGAAAAGGAGTTGACTCAGCTCAAGAAGAAACTCGAGGAAAAAGAGAAGAAAAACCCAGGAAGTACGTTGACAGACTGTCCCGCTTGCGCAGTGAAGGCTTTAGCGCAGTTCTACTGGGGTATCCAAAATCCCAATGCTGGTGGTGTACCTGATAGTCTACCCTTCAACAATGCAGAGCTAGACAGAGTTCACCAAGTTGACAACATGCTGCGGCAATTTACACCAGGAGCAGACACTGGGGCAGGGAACGCACAAGAGGACCCAGAGGAGATGCAAACGCGACTATTAACAGCATGTCTCGAGTCTGTTAATCACCAGTAAGTCTTTTCGGCGACATTAGATTACCTTACGCTAACACAAACAGTCTCAATGAAAACACGGCCTGGAAAGCTCGCTACGAAGCCCTGTTCATACTGCAACAAGAGTGCTTCTGGAATTGTCCATGCGGTTCTCAGCAGGTTCCCCCAAACAATCCCGCCCCCGACAGTATCGGTTTCAACAACATCCCGATTCTCTCTAACGGCACACCAGACAGCCTTGAAGAAGCTATGAGACGAGAGTTCGAACCAATTCCACTCAATACCTTCCACTGTCACATCTGTAACAGCACGCAGCAACGAATGCAGTCTACACGTATTGAAGGATCACCAGAATATCTCCGCATCAAACTCAGTATCGTCAACAGCGACGGTACACCGAACTTGAATCCTGTGAATCTTCCCGAGGTTCTGAATTTGTCTGAATACCAAGCTGTTGGTGACGACCCACCGCCTCTCATGTATCGATTAAGCAGTGTACTTGCTCACGGCGGTACACACAATGCAGGTCACTGGGTTGCGAGCGTACGTGGCCCTCAGAATGTCTTCTATATCAACGATCATTCGGTCGATCAGCGAAGTTTATTAGAATTGAGGGCGAATCCCCAAGTTTATGGGGGTACTGGAATGCACGCTGTCGTTCTGATGTATAAACGCTTTGAGAAGAAGCTCTAGGGTTAAGTCAGCCAAAGTAACCATACGGTAGCACAACGACGACCTTCATATGCCATTCGCGCTTTCTCGTACTTGTACAACATCATAGTAATTGTAGTGTCTGTGAAATCGATTGTCTCAAATGTTCTATACACGTGATATCTGTTCTGTGCGAAATCTTCAGCAAGCTTCTCACTCTCTCTTTCCTTTACTGAGACATGAACTGCCTTCATCGCAGAGATGTTCAAACGAGCAATCGTATCAAGGAACAGGACTATGATGAAAGATCAGTTGTCAACCAAGCAAAAGGGCCTGCTAAAAAATGTCACACACACTGGAAAACCAGAGAAACTGATGAAGAGTAGAAATAAAATCTGATTGCTTCCAAACTCAAAAGAACTCCCGCTATGCAAACCCACTTCCTATACACCTTGCACTTTACGATAACTCGGCGGCTTCAGCGTCCTCCCCAACAACTTGACCGCATAAGGCGGCACAAGACTGATCGCCGCGATAACCGCAAACTTCCACCAAAACGCCACGCTACCCACAAACGCAAGATCAAAGTAGCCCGTCAAGAACGGTATGGAGCTAAAGTAAACGACAGCCGTACCCACGATACTAGCAATCATGAACCAATGCCAAGTCGTAACCTCCATAGCCACCATGATAAGTTCATTAACAATCAGCACCGAGAAACTGACGCTGACCATTTTAAGGAAAGTGGGGTCGGGTTCCGCAGGGGGTGTAGTTGAAAGACCAACACCGATGAGGAGTTGTGATAGCCCCTGGATGATTGAGCCCTGGTAGATGGATACGGCGACCCAGATGAAGAAGGATTTATAGGATAGCGACCTCCCCGTTTTGAGTTCAGCGTAGAGTTCCGGATAGAGATTCGCAACGCTCTCATCGACGTCTCGATCCAACACAAGCGAGAAGACAGGCCACATGGTGTAGATGGTACTATAGCCGACGAGCAAAAAGTCCTTGTACAGAGCGTTGGGCTCAAAGTTGCTTGAGATGGAGAAGACGGTTTGGCAAATACTGATGATGAGACCGCGGTGGATGACGAATTGACTCAGCTTAGCAGAACGCTTGTAGCTGTTGCGACCGTGCCAGACCAGTAGTTTCACGAGGTAGCAGAATTGCTCAATAGAGAAGTCGGCTGCGAGGGAGGCTTGACGACCTTCCTTTCCGACGATACCCACGCCGACGTCTGCGGCTTGAATCATGGAGACGTCGTTGCCACCGTCGCCGATGCAGCATACGCGTTTCTTGGTGAACTCGCGAATCAGGCGGGCAACGTCTGCCTTCTGCGTTGGAGAGCAGCGGCAGGCTACGACAGTGGGCAGCTGGACGGCTACGGAGATGAATTCCTGGCGGAAGTGTTGGAGGAACAGCGCGAGAGACTCTCCATCAATGAGGAGGCATGCGTCTAGTTTTCCGCGGAGGAAGTCGAGCGAGGAGGAGGCGAGGTCTTTGCGTTTTAGCTTGGCAATCGTGTGGACGTATTGGCCGCGGGCTACGAGCTTTGATGAGACAGCTACGCAACGGGCGGTTTCTACTTTGTCACCAGTCAACATCCAGATCTTGATGCCTGCGTTACGGAGGAGTTCGAGAGAGGGCTTGACGTCTTTTTGAAGCTTGTCTTCAACACCTGTAACGCCGAGAAGTTCCAGGTCGTTCTCCAGGAATTCCTTTACTACACTGGCGACGGCGGCATCGCGGTTGTTGAGGGCAAGGGATGCCTGGGCATGCTTGGTGGAAAAGTCTTGGTAGATTTGCGCGGAGAGTTTCTTGCGACCGACGACTAGTGTTCGGAGACCTTCGCGTGCCATGTTTGCTGTCTCCTCGTCGAGCCAATCGTTGGCGGCAACGATGGAAGTCATGACCGTGTCGGCACCTTTTTGGTAGAACCAGATCTCGCCACCATCATCGGTGGGTGATGATGCCGGACCATGATAGAACTTTACAACAATACCCATGCGCTTGCCTTCAGAAGTAAACGGAAAGACGTTCAAAATGCGCACCTTGACCACTGTATTGCCGCTGTCGCACGATAGTAGGGTCATAGACTCGCGGTCGCGGGACAGTAGCTTCAAGCCAACAGCCTCGGTCCATCTCACGATGGCAATTTCATCCGGGGAAGAGGCTTGGTACGTGGTTACCGTTTCCCCATCTTCTTCCTCAGTAGTCGGTGTTACATTGTGGCAAAGTGCTAGAGCCAGCACAACATCGCGAACTCGAGATCCAATCTCTCGGCGTGTACGAGTAGCTGAGGTCAGAGGTGCGGTATATGCAGAAGATGGCGTGACGAGTGACGGAACTTCTCCAGTGGGTGGTGTAAAGCATTGGTGAACATATGACGATACTTCGTCCATTGCTTCGTTTGCATACGAGACCGTACCGACGTGTATCTTTTTCATGATCATCTCTGAAGGTTGTTAGTCATGTCAAAGTCCCTTTGTTGTTTGGCATACCATTCTGTGTCAAAGTACCCGTCTTGTCGCTCAACAGGTACTCAATACGGCCTAGGTCCTCTGGGATCGTGCTGGTCCGAACAATGGTGTTTTTGATGCTCTCATCATGCTGGATGAACCACGCATAGACTGACTTGCCCATGTCAAGATTTACACGCAGACCTACTGGTACGATGGTAGAGAACAGAATGAGGAAACGCAGCATAGATTGCCACCACTGCCTGCCTTCGATGACTTGGAAGCGCGCAAGGGCGACTAGTATGAATGAGAGCGACAGTGTAAAGACACAGAGCCATTTTGTCAGGGAGTTGATCTCCAGCTCTAATAAACCAGTCTTGGACCGGGAGGGCGATGTAGAGAGCGCTTGACGGGTTTGGGGGCCAGTGTATACAACGACAGCTAACAGACTGCAGCTTGAGGCAACAACGGTGTTTGCCCAAATGGTGTTGTCGATGCTCAAGGATGCTGAATGTACCTCTTGAGGAGAGGCCGATTCTTCACTCTCATGAGGGTCATACTGGCGCTGGGTCTTGGGGGGCAGTTCAACGGTTCCATAGAATTCGTTGACCTTCTTGTCCGGTTTGCCAGCGACGACGCGGAGCCGTGTGTACTCGCCAACATCCAAGTTCTGGGTGAGTGGTGAAGTCAGGCGCAGCTTCCAATCGGTTTCACCATCCAACTGATCAGTTCGGATAAAGGCTTCACCTGAAGATCCGGTAGCTGTGGCACTGTCGACCTTGGCTGTGTCTCCCTTAGCTGTGTCTTCAGAATCCAAACCGTCAATAAGCGCTGCCGACGAACTCTGCACTTTAGACTTGTCTTCTGCGGGTGGTGCATTTTCGCTGGAGTAGCTCTTGAGAAGCACCATGTCGGCAGGCACTCGCTGGTCCTTGCCAAGCTTTACGACATCTCCAACTTTGAGGCTCCGAGAGGGTTTTACAACTTCCCAGTAGGTGCACGTGGCCAAGCCCTTGCCTGAAAGTCGCTGCTCCTCTTCATCAATGTCGGCTGACCGGCCTTGGCCCTTAGGCTGTTTCCTCAGACGGTTCTTCTTCTGCGAGTTCTTGCCCGGCGCGACGCCGTTGCCGAGGCTGTTCTCTTCGAACTTCAGAACTGTGTAACCTTCGGAATTCGCTTCTGCGTCTCGCCGCCTTCGCGCAATATCGTCCATAGCTTCTTTCCCTAGAGTGATGGATATGACAAACGCCAAGGGAAAGATGTAGGTCGAGAGGTAGCCGATTCGCAGGACAGGTATGATTTGTGATAGAGCGACGAGCAGAAAGTACATGTTGATGAAGAAGGAGAACTCATTGTATAGAGTGCGGGGTAGGAAACTCCACGGGGTATATTTGGCGTTGGATACGGCGTTTGCAGGGAATCTCGAGGTTTGGAGCTGGCCGACGGAGATGGTGCGCTGAGTGGTCGGATCATGCTCTTCTTCGGCATCTGACTCTCCATTATCATCACCCAGCTGTATAGGCGCATTGTTCTGTCGTGAGAGGAAGCTGGGCAGGCGCATGGCTGAGCCTAGGCGGGATAGTTTGCTCGGTGGTGGTTGCCGTCTTCTCCGTACTGTGTCTTGTGCAGACAGCAGGGGCGAGTCGTCGTCTCCAGACTGGCCATAACTGCCGGCAGAGTCTCTCTTGGACCCTTCATCGTCATCCAACAGCCCTCTCAGGTCGTCCTCTTCCGGCTCTTCCCTCTTCTTGCTCGCGCGCAACCGGCCTACCCTAAGATTCCTCAGCGGTATCCTCGCGCCTAGTTCATGGTACGGCCTTGTTTGCTCCCTAGATTGCCGGCGCGGTGGTGTAGAGGTGGACTGCGAGTGGGTGGCCAGAGGGTCCAGCTCCTCTAGGTCGAGTTCCAGATCCGAGTCCTCATCTGGCGCATTTGGCTGGTGGTACTGGTGGGGTGCAGCCATGGCTCATGGGCGAGCGAAGATGGTGCTGCGGTGCAGGAAGGAGTGGTTGGCTAGTTCCACCTCATGTGCGACGGGCTTGGGTGTGGTTATAGGTATATTGGCTGCCTTCGGGGGTCCGCGGCGTTTCGGGGGTGTCTGGATGCAATGTCTGGGCGACTGGACGCTTAGTTTCTAGTGCCGACGAGGATCCAGGGAATATCGACGTATCAAGTATGCCTCTAAATGGCTGACGGGCTCGGGAGTGAAGGGCGCAGGTGGTGCTGTGTGAATTGTAGAGCCCATGTGTCTTGAAGTCGCGTCACTCTCCGGGCTGGGGTGTGGCGCAGGCGGCAAGTGTGGCGTTGGGGCTGCCGCGGCGGGCCGTTTCAATGTCCAAGGCGCAGGAACAGCTGGCCAGATCGCTTTCTCACTCATCCTACCAGACTACATTGCGATGCGACCGGGGCTCGCCTCTGCTGTTTGATTCTTGTTGCCTTCCTCGACGGAGACTGCGTCTTTCGCTGTTGCGCGACATACAGAGCCCATGCTCTTCTGCTTCTATAGAGGTATGTAACTGTCTTCGCGATCACTGACGTAGAAAGGGATGACGAGCACTCTCATTTGTCCTCCGCGTTCGACTC